ACCAGTAATAGGCACGAATATAAAAACTTCAAACCAAGTCTTGTCTAATTAACGCGAATGACCTTGGCCGTGATTTTAGACTTTTTTTAGTTATCTTCCTCCATAAGTGATACCCGATATATATTCTCTGGACCCTTGAAATTTTTGCCCCCTAGGTTGCACCTTCACGAGTAATACACACATTCTGAAAGGTTAAGGTAATTGATTTGATTAGACAAAGAATTGAAAAAACGTCCATTTTATCCAAGGGAAGACCTTGACGCTACGTTTGATAATTTGATTTCATGGTACAATAATAATAATTCATTCCGCTTTCATTAGCGTGGCAAGTCGTATAATGCAGAAGTTTTCTTCCAACTCAGATTCCAAGATGAGTACCATACCATCTCATGGAGACGACAAACCATTTTATCTCAGCATTGGATTTTTGGTAAGCGAACGCCAACTTAAGGAAAACTGTCAAACACGTGTTATAGTCTCAACAAGTAGCTTTATCATTTATGGCAGAGTATTCCCGACGGACGGAGGGCCTTAATTTGGATTTTGCCGAATAAAAATCAGCCATTGAACAATGCAGTTGAGAAAAGGTGATTTGACATGTACGTACCAAAAAAAAAGAGATTGGACATGTGATCAAACAGTAGCCATCACAAATCTCCACCTCTACAAGAAAGCCTATGCCATTCATTGGTATTCACGAAAAGAAATTTTCGTTCACGTTCTTGGCATATTAAATTAAGTGTCAAAAATAAAAATTTTTATATTATTGTTGTTTTAGTCAAATTAAAATTTTAGTAATTCTATTTGAATCAATTGATAATAATTTTATTATTTAATATTTTATTAAAAAATTCCTTGTGATTGTAAATTTTTTTTTACAAGTTATCTAATTTATAAATAGGGAGTTTTATTTTTGTCATTAGTTAATAAGAGTGAAATTTGAGCCTTGTTATTATGTGTGAATAATGATATATTATTGATTATTCCTCTTCTCTCACACATACTTGTATGCGTGTAAATTGCCTTCCCATATATATATATTTATTTTATCTCTTATAAATTTTTTATGAAATTTTTTTGGATTCTACAACTGGTATTAGAGCCTTAAATTCAAGAAATTGATCTTGTGGCGCATGTGAATATTGAAAATTTGTCCCAACTATAAAGTTAGTCTAGGTGTTTTCGCTATCAAAAAATTAGGGCACAAGGTTATTAAATTAGGCTTCAAGATTGGTCCTGAAATATCCAGTTGGTCAAGATTGTACTATAAGATTGGTTTGAAATTTGTTCGATTGATTGTGCATGTAAAAACAGATTTCAGAAAAGAGTCCTGACAATTGAGTTGTGATTATTGTAACAAAAAAGTGTTTGAAGATTAAAATTCAATATAAAGTGATGTTGTTAGAATTTGCAAGGGAGATGATTAATCGTGATTGCATTGAACCCGATTCAAGAGAGTTAGATTTAAGGGAGGCAATGTTAGCATATTAAACTAAGACTCAAAAATAGAAATTTATATATTATTATTTAGTTGTGTTTTACTCAAGTTAAGATTGAAATCAAATTATAGTAGTTTTATTGTTTAGAAATTAATATTTTATTAAAATTTCTTATGATTGTCTTCATGGAATTTGATAGCATTGTTATTTTGTATGAATAATGAAATGTTGTTGATTATTCCTCTCCTCCCATATTTGTATATGTGTAAATTGTTTTCTCATACATATTGGTTTTGCGAAATTTATATCCTATAGCTTCTTGTTGATTGGTGAAATTTTTTGGGCTCTACATAGGTTCTGTTTAAAGAAAAGAAAGTAGTGTGAAAATGTGTGGGAAAATGAGGTAAAAGAAAATAAAAATTAGTTTCTCATACAAGTTTGGCTAACAAGAAAAAATTTGAAAAAAATATAGAAAGTTAATGACAGTTAGTAATAGTAATTAAAAATTTTGTATGTAACCAACCACTTTTTTAAAAAAAATTCTAGAAATTTTACAAGATTCAAAATGTAGAAAAGTGTAAGAGAATTTTTCAACATTTTTGTCAGCCAAACATGCAAGAAGGAAACAAATGACTAATTTTATTTTATTGTCCCACACTTTTGCTAACAAACAAACGCCATCTTGATATTTTGTCAATGGGGTTATTCAGAAACCACCCTTGAGGATTTTAACTATTTCACTTGTCTCTCTCAAGATTTCAGTAATATCATTAAAATCCCCTAAGGTTAATAATTTTGTAACATGTTAGCCCATTTCATAATAAAAAAAAAAGATATCATGAGCGAGAACATTTTATGATTCCACCAATGTCCCTCATGTAGTAGATTAATTAGTTGATTAAATATGTTTTACCAAATAAAACTTTAGGGGATGTAAGTGTAAATTTTGTTGAATTGCAGGGGGAAGCAAAAGTTTGTGAATGGATAGCAATGCTTTACAGCCGTTCTCCAACTGTGACTATATATAAGCCACAGAAACATTTTTAATGTTATGTATATAAGATAAAAATATGGTTAAAAATGTGTTAACGATGCAAACAATGTTAAATATGTTTTAACTAATTTTGCCAACACAATTGTGCAGATTTGTTTGGACAGCAATTTATTTGGCCAAATATATTTGCTTACATCATCATTACAATTTCCAATACACCTTTTTACCTTCTCAATTACCTTTTTATCTCACATACATCACATCACAAAAAGTGCTACAGTAAAAATATCTCAAATAATTTACAATCCAAACAGAGTCTCCCTATGTTTCTGACAGGCGAGGTTAGTGATATTACCAAAACCTTAAAAGAGGTCGGTGAAATAGTTAGAACCCTCAAAGGAGGTTTGTGAAATTATTCCTTTGTCAAATATAAATTTTTTTTCACCACTAGGGTTCTAAACGAGTCTAATTAAACCAAACACTCTACTGTTTAAATTTGTTTAATTATTTTAATGAGTTTAAAAATTTGTTAAAGTTTGATTTATTTATTTGTCGAATTGAGTTTGAATAAGTTTTTTTTAATCAAGTTTGAAGTTGTCAAATATAAAATACTGTTCAAATTTGATTTCACTAATTGGCGAAGCACATTCAAATGTGCTCTCATTAAACCGTGTTCGATTCGAATATCGACTAATTTTTTATCGAGTATGGAAGTTGTTAAATATAAATACTGTTAAAATTTGATTTGATTAATTGGCGAACTAAATCTGAATGAGCTCTTGTCAAGTCGAATTCGATTCAAGTATATAAATAAAATTCCATTTTTATCAAATCCAATTCGATCCGAGTATCGAATCATTTAACTCAGGTGGCGTTTGGTTCGCACATCGGTATTGGATTCGGATTCGAAATCAGATATCTTGGGTTTGGAATGAGGTCATTCATTCAAATACATTTGTTTGGTTCAAGTACCTGGAATGTGTATCATTATTATAGTTGATGTTTGGTTCGTCAACTCTTTCGGAATGGAATATAATAAATATATTATAAACCCCATCGTAAATGATAGTTATTGGCTCTTTGTAAATGGGATATAAGAAATCTTCGCTAATTAAATATATTAGTATAAATGTATTAGTAAATTTAGTCTAACTAATTAATAATTTCTATTAGTAAACATGTATAATTATTAGTATAATGGATAATATTAATTATATTACATAAATTAATATACATTATATAATACATATAAATAATAATAATATTATTATAAGTTTGTAACTAATTAAATTAAATATTATATATATAATTAAATATAAATATACAAATGTTATAATATAAATATATAATTATATAATTATATAATATATACAAATATTAATTATAATAATATTTTATATAAATATAATATATATTACATATTAAATATAGTTATTATTATATATTATTATATTTAAAATAATAATTATTATAATTATATAACTTATTAATATTACATACATGTATATATTATAATTATATGCACATATAATATACATTTATAAATATACATATATATTATAAATATAATATTATATAATATTAATAAATTTATAATATATATTATATAAGTATAATTATATTTAACTAAATAATTATAATATATAATTATATAATACAATAACATCATTATTATAAGTTTGTAACTAATTAAATTAAATATTATATATATAATTAATTATAATTATACAAACGCTATAAAATAAATACATAATTATAATTATATAATATATAAATATTAATTGTACTCACATTTTATATAAGTATAATGCATATTAATATTAGATATAGTAATTATTATATATTATTGTATTTAAAATAAAAAATATAAATATAAATATAATTATATAATTTATTAATATTATATACATGTGTATATTATAATCATATGCACATATAATATGCATTTATAAATATACATATATATTATAAATATATTATTATATAATATTAATAAATTTATAATATATATTATATGAATATAATTATATTTAACTAAATAATTATAATATATTATATATATGTATATATTATAACATATAATATATATAAATATTAATTATATCATTGTATAATTATAATATGTAATTGGATTTGTTTCTTGGAATCAAACTTGGGAATCGGACAAAACCCACCAAAATACTTGGAATTGGAGAAACACAAAATTTTTAGAAATCATTCCAAGATTTCAATTCCCATTCCAGTGAACCAAACACCATTTATGGGGTTCATTCCATTCCCCGAATCCGATACCCTCCTACCAACGCGCCCTCAGTTTTCATCCGACTAAACTTTAGGTTCATTGCTGGGGACGAAACTTTAGGTTCATTATTGGGCTGTAGAACGGCGGACCAATCCCCCTTGATCCCGAAGTCAGTCAAACATGCTCTTGTGACAAAGGGTAATATGTGGCATACAAAAAACGACGTACTAGACGTCATTATCCTTCCTTTTTTTTTTTTTTGGGAATTAGAAGACGTGGTGCACAAGTAGAAACTTCCCTACTGTCCGCATCCAGCCAGAACACATGCAATCTATGGAGCGTTCTAGCATCATAAATTTGTAGTCGCCCTTTGAATACCTCCATATCAAGGTCCTAACTTTGTAGTCGTCCTTTGAATCGAATTACGGGGAAACGACCTCGTATTTGTAGCCACAACCACAACTCAGCTTCCGTTGTCCATATATTTCGGCAACTGGCGAGGACTTCTCTTCAACCATCCCGGCCCCAGGTACTAGAAAAAACTCCCAGTAGAGTCCACCGCCGCCGAGGAAGGTTTTCCAGGATTATATTCTCTTATTCCGTTTTGTTTTTGACCCGTTGTCCCCTCCCTCATCATTCAGTCTTTCTATTTTCTCTCACCGCCGCTCCGTTTCGGCCGGCAGCCGCCCTTGTCTGCCCCCGTCGTTGTTTGCATTTCCTTTTTCCCCAACCTGTATTCCTCCCAAGGTTGAATTCTCAGGCAACTTAATTTCAGTGATTTGATTCTTTCCCCTGTCAGTCACTCTCCTTTTTTTTTTTTGGGGATCTTCTCACTTCATGGGGCTGTTGTCTGCAGCGCTGCACCAGTGCAAAGTCTGGCGGGGAGAGGAAAACCGACATAGAAGAAATAAAAATAGGTCGGTGAATGAGCAAGGAGTAGGCGTGCACGGATATTAGCCCGCCGCCGTCTACAAAAGAATAGTTACTACAAGGCTTTCTCAATATTCCCCGTGTTGACTGTTTCTCATTTATGCATGCTTCGTGTTGGAATTACAGATTACTTGAACATCTTGAAATCCTCTTCTGTTATCCATATTTTAGTAGATTTCTTGTCTTAAATCAGTTGCATCATTCATGCTGCTTGTTTATGCGTCTTGTTGTTTAGATTTTAGGTGATTAATAATCAAAGTCAATTGTTTGTATAATTGATTGATAACCTTTCCTTTTATATCGTAAAACTAGTGATGGTGAATGAGTTGAACTGGAATTCATTCGCAATAGAATTTACCTAACTCTTATTAATTTTGATGGTCTTGCAAGTTGCAAGGCCAATCTTATTTATTTATTTTTTTTCCTCGAACAGCAACTCTACACCACAAATTCCAACAAGAGTACGTCCCCTCTGGCTCCATTCCTCAATTAACTTTCTCCGTTACGTTCATTCTTCGGGAGCCAGACCGCCGAGCCCCTCCCTCCACGCAGCTGGGTGTCACTTCCCTAGCAGCTCCTGTTTAAATTGTAAGTCCTTCATTTGCTTAAAGATCAGATCATACTCGTATCATCATGAACCATTTTCTCTATCTCAGTATGCATACACTAGAAATAATAAGCGTCCGATGTTTGTTTGTGGGGATGAAAATTGAAAGGGTGAAAAACTGGGGAAAAAGTTTTTGGTGTCGTGGGTTGCTGTGGAAGCGTCCGGAATAGAAACCAAGAGATTGTAAAGTGAAAATTTGTTCGATTATTTTTTAATTTCTGGGCAGAAGTGCACCACAAAGAAGATGTTTCTGTTAATTAATTCATGAGTGGGTTTCGCAAAGTTGATGCTTTTACCCTTCGGGAACTGGGAAGCTAGTAACTTTTTTGCTTTAATTGTGATTCTGGGGATTAAGATAAGTACCACTATGTGTGGTGGATTTAGGACTTTTTTATTTTTTAATGGTCCCATGTCTGTTTTAAAAAATAAAAAAGATTTAAAATGTTCCTCTCATTTAGAAGTATCGTATATGGCAAGTGGGTGACAACTATAAGATATCCAACTGGCAAGTGGCAAGTATTACGTTTTCTTTCACCCTTCATAGTTGTGATACGGTCTTGTGTAAGTTTTTTAGTGCTGTTAATTTCGGGGATCCATCCAGTGGTTGTTGAACACTTTTTAGATGTAAAAGCTAATGTAGTGGGTTTTTACTTTTTACTTAACTGTATCGACAAACTTTTCACCTGGCGTAACACAGAAACAATAAAAATGTTTTTATGAACGTGCCATTTTGTACTTTTCTGTCTCCGAATGCCGAAGTTGACCAAGATTCAAGATTTGACTGCCATTTTCTTGTCCTGTTATTTTCTGGTCGTCCTCACTCCTCGCCTTACTTCTCAACGCAGAAACTGACACTTCATTGTTAATATTTTCTCACATTTTAAGTAATTTATTCATCTAATGGTATTGGTTTGAGGTACTTGCACTAACGATGTCGGAATTTGATTGAGAAATCATTAACTCGTTAGCTGACATATTGGAAGTAACTAACTGTTACTTTCTTCATGTTCCTCTCTACAAAGGATCTGACAAGTGATTTGGACGGTTTGGGAGTATGATATGTTTGACTATAATTTTTTTTTTTTTTGTCAAAAATGTTTGACTATAATTTGTGTAATATAAAAAATGTTAATCATCCCTACCACACTGCTTTTTATAGATGGACTTCAAGATTTGGTTTTTAACATAACATTATGTCTTTTTGGCATCATTTTCTTTCTACGAGAATTTTGACATTTGCTTCCTTATTTTTTTTTGTTATGACTCTTTGAGAGTGGCTGACTGAACATTGGTGTTGGCTCGTAGAAATACTTCATCTCTGTTCTGTTATCAATTGTGTTTGTGGCCTATGGTTTTTGAATTTCCTAAAGAATTAACGAAAGTTCCATTATGTGAAGAAAATGAGGAAGGATCGTGAGGAGATGACTTTGGGTGGACCTAGACGGAGTAAATCATTGAACCGAGCAAGCAGTGTTAAGTCATCTTTAAGAAGACATTCTTTCGGTTCCTTCCATGTTTCACACAACCAGGGAGATGATGATACAGAAAGTGAGGCAGTTTCAGAGGCCGGAGATATAGGGGATCGTGCACTTCACAGCAGAAGATCTTCAGAAAGCGGTAGGGGTCGAATCTCCATTGATAATGTGGTAGAAAGTGGTGTTATTGTTCCCATTCTTGAGGATGCTTCCTTGCAACCTACTGGTTTCTCTCCTCATAAAACGACTACATTTAATACGGAATCTGCCTTGCCATCTTCAACTTTGGACATTGCATTGGGGAGTTCTGCTGATGGAACTGCTCAACTAGAAGATAAAAAGAATGTAAGTTTTCAAACGTTATTTGCTTATTGATATTTGTAAGGCTTGTGGTATTCTTGATTTTTAAGTAGGTCCCTTAAAATAAAATCTACCGAACGATTTACGTATGGGATGATTTATATGCAGGAAAATGAGAAAGCAATACCGTGGATATTGGAGTACATTTCATGCCTATCATTTCTTGCTTTATTTGGAATTCTTGGGGTAATGATGCAAATCCCTTTCTATTGTTAAAGTGCTACACAATCTAAACTTTTGCTTCATTTTGTGAACCTTTTGGCACTCTTCTGTCTGGATTAAAAGATTCAGTGACATCTTAATCTTCTACGTTCTCGAAACATGGTAATACATTTAGACGTTATTCAGGCACACTATAGCTCGTTATGCTGTTTACTTTTAGAGAAAGTATCTGCTTTTAGGGATAGTCTCTAAACTGCCATTCAAATTAAAAGCCTTAGAAAAATAATCTCCATTCAAAATAAAAGTCTTAGAAAAGTAATCTGTTTAAAAGTAGAGTTAAAAGTTGATCTGGATCATCCGAAGAAGGCTATTGTTCGGATGCCACATGTGCCCCTTGTGATGCAAGAGAGAAATTTTTTTTTAAAAAAAGGTTTCTTCTCTTCACTGCACGGCTGCACAATCAAAGTCCCACTTCCTTTTCAAGGCTTAAGTTTTCTGATTCAACTCATCCCATTACTTTTTCACCTCCCTTCACCTTATCTGCTTCATGGCAGCAAGTCAACAAGTTCCTCCATGAATCCGGCAATACCTCAGAATTAAAACACAATTGAAGCCAACTATTCCGCCTTTGGCACCATCACCAATCGTAGAAAAGCTATCATAAAAAATCAGACACAGTAGCACAATAAAATCATCCAAAATCATGCTAATCAAATAGTCCAATTGTAACCCGGAGATCAATGTCAGATTCCAATTGCATTTACAATTGTGTTATTTTCAACAAAGCCTAAGAAATGAATGTAATAGAAGATTAGAAGGTTTGATACTTAATTGCTTGCTGATTATATTGGAATTGCAGCTTAGAAAAAGAGACAGCAAATCTTCTTGGTATTCTGCTCAAATCATAGTGAATTAAATAGGAGCTTGTAAATTTAGTTGGGTGTTAGGGCTTAATGATGGTAGCGGTGGTGAGTAGACGGAAGAGTGAATGACAGTAAAGATTGCAGGAGAAGGTTCAAAAAAAAAGAAAAAGGGAATGAGAATAGTAGGGCTGCTGGAGGTCATGGGGATGGAAAAGAAAGAGCAAAATGAAAAGCATGATATAATGGGGTATACGTGCCAACAAACTAATGGAATCCGAACAAATCTTTAATGCAGATGAACCGGACATACTTTTATCTTTTAAAGGTATTCTGCATGTTTGTGACACTTAAATAATGCTTCTTTTAGTCCAGAGGTGAGAAGCACTTTGCTGCAGTGGTGATTCTGTGGTTGGGAAATGTTTTAGATGAAGGATCTTTTACAAAACACAATAACGGTTTAAGGTTGCCAGCAAAGAGCAGTTGCGTCTTTACTTCCTTGAATTTACTAGCTTGAAGCATTTCCGGTTTCCTTTTTTTTTGCTTGAATTCTATTGAGTTTAATTTATAAAACTAAGGCTGAAATAAATCATCAACATTATGGCCTTTATGTTCTGAGGAACTCAAAGGTAATTTATATTTGTTAATTCTTGTAGAAATTCAGTAAAGCTATATGAATGATCAATATATATATCAGGTTTGTGGATTGTGAGTGTAAGGACCATGCTTGGGACAAAGACTCTTGTTTCATAACTGCAGAGGCATTAGTGTATGCTCTGCTACATCAGTATTTCGTGTTAATACTGTTGTCTGGTCTTTCATTCTGGTTTATTATTGAATAAGTTTGTCTATTTTTCATATTGTTCCAATCAGTCTCTCAAGCTCTAGGCTGCTGATTTTGGTCGAGCTTCTGTTGCATGAATCCTAAAACAAGTGCTAGTTTGTCATAGCAACAATATTCTTGCGCCAGAATATTGCTCAGAGAGAAGTTAGCTGTTTCAAAATTTTCAAGCTATACTTAAAGAAAAAGTCTGCCATTTCTTTTATTCTGACTGCATTTTGAAGTGCTTATAGTAGTATTTCATAACAAAGTGTAACGTGTCTTAATAAGGAAGTGCATATTGTCCTCCTTGAAACATTTTTCATGTGCTTACCAGATGTTCTTAAGTTCATTCTATTTTGTTCATTTTTTTGGCTAGCAAAATTGTTTTGCATGCTGGTATTCTCATCCTTAGCAGAGAGATTCTCTATTTCTTCAAATTGAAAGAGTAGATAACATTGACTACCTGGTATGTTGTTTGGCAAGGAGCAATTTTGTCCTTTTCTCCATAGAACCGTTTGTGTATTTTGTTTTTATGGATCATGGCCAATCCTAGATCTGGACCCTTGCTGTGGAGCACTTTTAAATTGCATAAAAACACTTGATCTTGAAATGAAGGAAAAGAAACTTAGAACTGATCCTGTCATTCATAGCATACATATAGTAATGTCCTGCTACAGATCTGGTTAAGCTAAACTCAATGTTATCTGTATGTACAATTTTGAGCACTTCTATAGTTAGTTAGAATCATGTGTTTTTGTTTTTGGTTTTTTTTATCAATCTCTGACCCTGTCTTTCGAAGTAGATGTGAAAGTTTGGAATGATTTGATCTGGTTGTTCTGACATGCGTCTTTTGTCTGCTGACATGAATATTATTTGAATACTTAATCATAATTTGTGGACATTATGCCATTGTGAACAACACTATTTATTTGGAACAGCAATGTGCCAGAAATTGCTATTGTGTTTACAGTTTTGTTGTTGATATTACCTTGTTTTTTGCCCTCTAATATAATTAAATTGTCTGGCCTACAGGTGATCACAAGGTTTTATCTCCAGAAACTATTTGGACCTAGAGTTATTGGTGCTACAAGTGACCAGAGCTACATGTATCCCGATCTTCCTTCAAACATGGTTATAATCTCTCTCTCTCTTTCTTCCCCCCCCCCCCCTCCCCCAACCTGCAGTGCCGTTCCATTCTAATATGCAGATAAACATCTTCCCAAAATTGATGGTGTGAAGAATTCTTATGGAACCGCCTTTAAGATTTGAGGCATAACATAACTGATAAGATAGAAACGATGTCTCAGTTTTTTTACTTGGAAAGATTAATTCATGTGATGACTTCATTGTTTGATGCCTATGCAATTGCGTCTCATTCTTGCATATGTATAAGATACAGAAAAAATTAAACTAATTTTAAGGAAAAATGAGAAACATGCAAGGTAAGGCTTTTCTTTTCTGGTGCAAAGTGTAAAGGAAAGTATTTTGTTTTTGAGAGTTTGCATGTATGGGAAGTAAACACCAAGATTGGTAGAAAAGTAGGATATCCCTCTTGCAACATGAAAAAACATAGCTCATGGTTACGAATTTCTTCATTATTAAGGCATACTGCATAAGGTAAATCAAGAGATTAAGTTTTGGGTATAGGGAGCAATTTCGATGCCTTCATCAAGTGGTAGGATTATTATAATTGCTGAAATTGTTTGACTTTTAAACTGCTTTGTTGCCACAGATTATTTAAGAATGGTAAGTGGTATATTTAACCTATGAAGCAGTGAAATACCTTTAATTATTGAGTGCTAGTTAATATGCCCTAGACTTCAGTTCCTTTTTTTTTTTTTTTTTACAATTGGATATTGAATAATGATGTTCGAACACTTTTTTTTTTCTTTACCATAAGGTTGGTTCGTTCTTGATGGGTTGGTTTGGCGTTGTTTTCAAAGGAGACATATCTGAAGTTTCAGATAATTTGGCGATTGGGTTGACAACTGGTTTTCTAGGAAGCCTTACGACATTCAGTGGCTGGAACCAAAAGATGCTTGATCTCAGTGTTCGAGGTCATTGGGTATTTGCAATACTTGGCATCTTAATAGGTAACATTATCTGCTTTATGTTTAAGCACATTTGGTGTTGTATAATAAGGTGATTCAAATGAATTTTGAGGTTCTTCTGTGGGCTTTTGAAATTGGATTTGATTACAGAGTCTCTTGTCAGTGGATATGGTAATCATGGATTTAGCCAATTGTACTTTTTGCAGGTTTGTTCCTTGCTGCTTACTCGATCATTTTTGGGATTGAAACTGCCAAAGGTTTCAAATGGCTTAAGAAAAGGTTTATTAGAGAAATGAAATTCTTCAGTTCCATATACTCTTGGGATTTGGATCAGTACAATACCTACTTGACGGGTACAGTGGTGCTGCTTTTGATCCTTGGTGTTGTTTGGGGTGTGTGTATAGCTTTCACGAAGAAGCAGTTCTACAGTGACCACAGTCACGCTGAGCTGTTATTGGGTTGCATTGTTGGGCCATTTGGTGTTTGGATAAGATGGTTCTTAGCTCGTCTGAATGGACGTGGCTTAGGGAAAAAACCTGTATTAAGATGGGTTCCTTTCGGTACTCTGGCTGCCAATATCCTTGCTGCTGCTGTAATGGCTGCACTGGCAACACTTAAAAAAGCGGTAAGTTTCAGAAATGAATTTTGTTGTCTCTGGCATCCTTTGTCCCCATCTTTTCTTCAACATTTGTCTCTTCATTTGTTCAATCTCTATGATGGGGGCATTAACAACTTCATTTAGTTAACAGTTCGTGTGTGTAGCAAAAATTATTACAATACTACTACTAAATGGTCTTAGTTAGGATTATCTACATATAGTTAGTGAAGTTTTCTTGTTTCCTTGCCACGTTTCAGCACTTCATAGTGATGTATTTCCTTCATATTACTCATAAGATGATTATCAATTGCATTTTTATTCTTGATGTTGGATGGTCCAATACAGGTGAATACGGATAAATGTAATACGGTTGCAACAGGTATACAGCTTGGATTTCTAGGCTGTCTAAGCACTGTGTCAACATTTATTGCTGAGTTCAATGCTATGAGACAAAGCAGTCACACTTGGAGGGCATATGCATATGCAACGAGTACTATAGTAATATCGTTTGCTTTGGGTACCTTGATTTACTCCGTGCCTGTTTGGGTAAAGGGATATGATTAGCATTTTGGGCTAGTTAATATTGGGGTGGAGCTACCAGGGGTCATGTTCATAATGGAAGTTCCTTGAGAGGCTATGTGGGTTAAATTAAAGACTCCCATCTCACCCTGGGGTTGATGCATTGGGGATCGAACACGACTGTTATTCCTGTGATGATCCTGGCTTCCTATTCTTGCTGCTGTTTGGAAGGGTCCTGTTCTGTGTGTTCTAGAGATGCATAAAGTTGCACGTGGCAACAAGCAGTTCAGCAATTCATGAAAGCAACATGGCTATATTTTTGGTGATTGCATATCAACTTCTGGGCTGCGTTGATGGTTACGAAAGCTGTATGGTTCTACCTGTGATGTAATATTATTACGCAGTGGCATCTGGTGCCAAAAGAACCTTTGTTCATGTGATCATGGATATAAAAATTCCGATCAGTGGACTGGCTGTTATCTATCTAATATAAAAAGAATGACAGATGGAAAAATCGTGCACCTGGAAAAAGTAGTCATTTTATTGTTAGGAGGGAAAGGAAACAGATGAAAGGGATGATATGTGCATTTGAAACAATTAAGGATGAATCGTATAACACCCGTTTGTTTAAGCAGTGCTCTGCACAAAAACTTTTACATGAGCAGAAGCAGAGACCCCAAATCCCCGTGGCTGAGAAGTGAGAACTGATGCGTCTGTTTAGTGACTCCAACCACCGCAACCTACCGTTCTTGGCCGAAGAAAGTAACAACTCCTGCTAAACTCTTTTCCTTTCCCCGGCAACTCTGCTTGAACTCTTCTCGTGCACGGGCTGGAAGCCAATAATAAAATGGGCACACGTCTTCATCATATGGACGCACATTTATCAAGACCATCTATCGTGTTCTAAGGTTCTATCGCCATCACTTCCCCAAAGGGCCTCTGGTTTTAGCTTTCTGATAGTTAAATTTCTGATCCAATCACCTCAATTTTGAGTTAGTGAAGATATTAACCAAGACTCAAAAATAGAGGGGGCAAAATGGGCGGGATGGGCGGGATTTGCTTGGGTTTGAGATAAAACCGAGTCATATGGGTTTGGGTCCAACCTTACCCATATGTGTTTTGGGACTAACTTGGGCGGGATCGCTTTGGGATGGGTTTAGATTGATCCCGCCCAATATCCAAATCTATTTTCTGCATATTTTTTTTCCTTTAATTCATTTTTTATTTTCTATATAATTTTAATATTTTTGATTTATTAAATTTCTTTTAGTTTTATTAAATAAACATACAAATGCTTTATACTTAGGATTCCCACCAAAAATTGGATTAACAAATAAAGGACTATAAAAATTGTTAAAGATAATTTTTGAATCTAAGACTCCGTTTGGATTGGCTATTTTTTCAAAAAATAAGTTTTTCAAATACAATATTACAGTAATATACAATAACTCAAAAAACATCCCATCCATATTAGTATATCAAATATTTCAAAAAAAATTTATAGTAAAAAATTTTCATATACACTAGTACAATAAAATATTTCAAAAATACCCCCTAAAAATAGCTAATCCAAACGGAGCCCTTGTTATTTGAGCCCAATGGGTACCCAAGTATTTCCCAAGTATTTCCCATCAATTAATGGGTACAATTGGGATTTGTCCCATTTTAAACCCAATATCAAATTTTAGTACCCATCCCGCCCAAAGTCCCCATGGGCATGGGTAACCCATTGGGACTTGGGACAAATTGCCACCTCTACTCAAAAAGCATGGTATCCTACTATTTGAATCCCTCACCCGTACTTAAAATATTTAGGAAAACAAATAAAAACTAGTTTCAAACAGAACTCAAGGCACTTGAACTATCCAACTCAAATCATGATGAGTGAGTCCAAATCAAATAGGGTATTGCAGAAAACGGATTGAAGCTTTGAAAAAAAATCAAAAGCACCAAATCGGCTTCGCATCCTCAAAATCAAAGAAAGTTCTGGCGGTGGATTATTTGATTTGTAGCCAAAGCCCAGCCAAGTGACTGACTGGTAGACTGGTAGTTGATGCATTGCAACAAACATTCTGCCATTTCCTAAGCTACTGATAAAATTGAAAAGAAAAAAGAAAAATCCATTTCTACTTCACCATCCCATATTGAGGTGTTTACATTTCCTTTTTGGCACGCATAGCTAAGCATTTGGACCAATCTTCAATTTGGCATTAATTTTTAAACTATAAAAAGTACTAAAGCATGCAACTCTTTGAACCAATTAAATGACAAAACTTATACATGCAACCCAAATAGAAAAAACTTTGGTTTGAATATTCTACAGCTCGACTTATGACCCAAGCACTTACAGTTAATATTAGCTTGACAGGTGTGTTGTTTCTGGTTTTTTAGTTGGTAGGTTCCGTGATTTGTTTTAGCCTTTTAGTTGGTAGTTTGGACATGATTATGGCCTTTTGCTTGAGTTGTATCATCACGGGTTTCGTTCAGGACGGGGCTCTCTTGGTGTGTAAATTGTATAGCCTCTGTTTTTCTGCGTGCAAGTTTTCTCCAGCCGCGGAAATAAAGAAAAGCTGTTGCCTCTTTCTTCAATTGATTTTCAGTGCTTTCTTGATTGACGGGTACCATATATGGTAGACTGGTAGCCGATGCGTTGCAACAACCGAACCGCATCCTCTTACTAATATGAAAAATTGGGTGGATAAATATGGAGAAGATGCCAACCTAATACGGTGTGACTTTTTATTGTTACTTTTATGGTGTACTTCATATTCTTTTCACGTTTCCATACTTACCGGATGGTTACAACAGTTCTAAATCTCCATATGGGCCATATCTTATTAATTTCACTACTATTAAATTGTTCATCTATCGTCTACGCAATTACCTTTTTGGATCAAGAGCCTCACGAGTTGATTATTGTCTATAATTGAAATCGGTTCGTGTAATTTTTATGACATTTGGTATAAATTAGTACAATTTTAGTGTAATCACCAATTTAACTACTGTATGAGTTGATAAATTCAAATTTACACTCAAATTATACGAGTTCCATCAAAAGTTACAAAAAATAATATGAACCTGTTTGAAGTGGACAGAACTGAACGACCCCTTTCACCATATGGAAACAGTCGTACTGTCTCCATCACCGAACGATCCTTAACTATTAGTCTATTACTTGCTCCTTCACTCCAATGTTCGAGGGGAGGAAAATCTACTATTTATACCGTTCAAGTTCAGGGGAAGCCTAAGATTCCTACCATTTGCTACACTTCTGATAAAACAAAGAAGCATGTTTACTTCATCATCCCGTGTCGCTGTATTTACATTTCCTTTTGGAACACATGCTGCTCCGCTGCTCCATCTTGTACGTGGACTTGCTGCCTTGGCACCGCATGTGAAGTTTTCATTCTTTGGCACCTCTGAATCCAACAACTCAATCTTTTCGGGTTCGAAACCATTTGAGTTTGATAATATTAAGCCTTACAACGTCTGGGATGGCATCCCTGACGGCCATGTTTTAACTGGAAATAAGCATTTGGAAGCCATGAGGCTTTTCATTAAGGCAACACCTGATAATTTTGTCAAGGCTGTGAAGGAGGCAGAGGAGGATGTTGGTATCAAAATTAGCTGCTTATTGACTGATGCTTTCCTTTGGTTTGCCTGTGATCTAGCAGAGCAAATTGGTGTGCCTTGGGTACCATTTTGGACTGCTGCATCTTGCTCTTTATCTGCTCATTTGTACACGGATGAGATTAGACACCTACTTGCTGCAACTGGTACCCTCTAGTCTCTATATAATTGTCTTTAGTAAAAAAAAAAATCTAGGAAAAACAACAGAACAAGTCTTTTACATTGGCATCTTAATTTATCTTTAGAAAATTTATACTTGAGCTATCTTCATTCTTCACAACACCAGCTTAGAATAGCCGTCAAAGAGCTATTTTTGTCACAAGAAACTCTTTTTTTTTTTTTTGTCTTTTAAATAACTGCAATCAACTGTACCAAATAAACCAACAAAACGGATTATGTGCTTATTTTGGTATGTATCATCCAGCGGCAGGCAGGGAGGGCCGCAAACGAGCCGAGTCGAGTCGAACTTTGAGCTAATCGAGCCGAGTCTCGACTAAATTTTACCAAACTCGAGCTCGAGCTCGAGCTCGACGAGCCGGCAATTTTCAAGCTCGAGCTCGACTCGAATCAAGTCGAGCCGAGCTCGAACTCGAGCTCGAGCTCGAAAAAAATTAAAAAATAATTATTTTATTTTTTAAAAAATAAATAAAATAATATTTTTTTCTTAATAAATAATAAAATATTAAGGATATATACGTAATTTTACTATGAAAATAAAAAATAAAAAAATAAAAATATAATATACGTAATTTTATTAATAAATAAAAAATATATATATATATATATATATATATACTCAAGCTCGCGAGCCGACTCGCGAGCTAACGAGCTTAATATTCTGAGTTCGAGTTCGAGCTCGAGCTCGATTAATATCGAGCTCGACTCGAGCTTGAGCGGCTCGATTCGTTTGCGAGTGGCTCGATTCGTTTGCAGCCCTAGGCAGGGTGTCCTACCCATGGGGGCTGTCGCCCCTTAACTTTTCAGAAAATTCATTTTAGCCAATATAATTTTGTAGAATTTTACTTTTGACTCCTTGCCGTGTCCCTTAAAAAGATTTTAGTACTTAACTAAATTTTTTAGAGTTCCTTGTGTTATTACTTTTCCACAGAGGATTTCTTCTTTTAAGCATCGGTAGAATTCTACCATTGGTGTAACTCTTGCCCTGTTCATTCTTTTTGCCTAGGAAAAACTCCTCCAATTGATTTAGTCGCTACTACGAAATTTTTGCCACTTCGTCATCATTCTTTAAGATCAACCGAAACTAAAAATTTTAAAATTCTTTTTAGTAAATATAAGCAGCAAAACCATAATTAGCATCCAATTTGCTCCATCTTTACATTTTGTGGGAACAATAAGTAAGATGGGGAAGAATAGCCACACAATAATTGGGAAATTTATTAACTATCGCCATAATGTGTAACTTATAAAGTCTGAAAGCTAATATGGCTGACACTGTTTTTGTAAAAAACAATTCCTTTGTTCCATTTGAAAGCCCTATGGCAAAGCAAGAAAAAAATGCATAAATCGTGTTTAATTTGACTTGGGGTATATTTTGTCTCATGAATTTATCGTACCTTGTTCAACAAAAATGAAATGTATGCAATTCACAACATTACTTTGTCTATGTTCAACCAAAATGCAGAGGAAAGAGACCAGACTCTTGAGTTGATCCCCGGATTGCAAGGAATAAAGATCAATGACTTGCCCAACGAAGTTCTCATGGATAATCAAGAATCACCATTGGCTCATATGGTCTACAACATGGCATTGAATCTTCAGCGAGCAACTGCTGTTGTGATCAACTCCTTCGAAGAGATAGATCCAGCCATCACAACTGATCGCAAGTCCAAGTTCAAAAAAATTCCTCAACGTTGGCTCTTCACCCTTAATTTCAACCTCAAAAAAATCGACTTCAACTGATGAGAATGATGAATGCCTATCGTGGTTGGACAAGCAAGACTCTGCATCAGTCGTGTACATTAGCTTTGGCACGGTAA